ATTAGGCTATGTTAGGGTTTTTTTGGAAACTTTAGATTAATTGGTGAGTAATGAAAATAATGAAAATTCCTCTGCCATTTGTCTTAAGGCCATCAGTCACAATCAGTGATTTGATTAGATGTCTCATATCTACAGCGATATGATTGGCTGTCATGAACTGTCACACTGGCAGTCTTTAGACTACTGCTGCACTTAAGGGAATATCTCACTGGTCTGGAGATAAGTTGGCTTGGCCAACAGTTGGCAACTCGCTGGATGCAGAGAAATGTCTCCTGGAAACTAACTGGGTCTCAAAGGCGACGCAGTGTTTTTTGAACAAGACGTCTCTATCAGTTACGACTACGTAGTGGAGAATAATTTTGTCTGTGAGAGAAGAACACTTCCGCAATTAGTCTGATGATTTGGGCCAGTCGCGCCAACGTCTCCACCAGTGAGATGGGCCTTTTATGGCTAGACTACACTAGGCTACATTAGGCCTAACTAAATTCAAACCTTAAACTGAATGAATAGAATACTTTTCTGCATGGTGTAATATCGAACAAAAGTATCGGGTACCTATCATGGCATCAGAGTAACTGTCAGTGATTCACTAATTGAATCTAGTCCTATTACAACTGCAAACAAGCAAGGTATCATGACAATGACAGAGCCTCGATGGCACTGAATCATGGAACGTATTTTTGGGTTATCGATTGGATTGTTCGTCTATCTTGGAGTTTGGTATCTTAGCAAGTGATCTAATAATCATTCTGAGTAATTGGCTTTTACTTACCACTCGAAACAATATAATTTTACACAATAATCTTAGACTGGAATTGTTTTCTATACCGATAATGGAGTATGAACCGGAAGCTATTATGATTGACGTCATTATGATAATAAACTAATGAAGGGAGGTAATCAAAAACAGGTGCTCGATTTCACAGAAAGAGACTACAGACAACAACTAGACTACAAACTTTGATTCCTTTATGTCGACGTCGCCATGGGTAGGGATTGCATCTGTTTGGACTAATGAGAACAGACTACGGCATGCATTGTGCAATGAGGGAAATTTGCTAGGGAATTGTAGGCCTACATATCGCACTCCTTTTCGAATTCCAACTGTCAAAGAATCTTTCACGTGTACAGCCTGTAGCACACGGGGCCTCAGTTTATTGTCCCATCCGAACAGCGAGACGCCTTCTTTCATGTAAGCCCCTCTTACCTGTTTCAAAATCCAAAGGTATTATTTCGACCCGGAATGCAACCTTGGACATTCAACGAGGGACTTGCACCCCATGTGCTTTGAGTTTAAACTGTATTTCAATTTTAAGGGGAATAGCCTATCATTCCATGAATCCATTTCTCATCTTATAACATATTTTTAACGTAAGCAACAGTGCACAATTAAAAATTTTTAATTTACAAACATAAAACGCTATACATCCAATTGCAAATCTGTAAACTAACGGTGCACCATTTAAAAATTTTCAATATACCAACACGAAAAGTTTTAAAATATTCAATTCACCAACACAACAAGTTAAAATTTTAAGAATTTCCCATTTCTATATTTTGCTGGTAGTAATAATTGACAACTTAAAAAATTCCACGTAGCAAACACAAATAGTTCACCCTTTGAAAATCTCTCATCAACAGATATTTTGAAACACAATTAGTTCGCAAAATTCTCATTTATTATATTGACAGTTCTCAGACAGTTCTCATTTATTACCTATGGACAGTTCTCAGACAGTTCTCATTTATTATATTGACAATTCTCAGTTATTATATTGACAATTCTCAGACAGTTCTCATTTATTATATTGACAATTCTCAGTTATTATATTGACAATTCTCAGTTATTATATTGACAATTCTCATACAGATCTCATTTATTATATTTACAATTCTCAGTTATTATATTGACATTTCTCAGACAGTTCTCATTTATTACCTATGGACAGTTCTCAGTTATTACATTGACAATTCTCATTTATTATATTGACAATTCTCAGACAGTTCTCATTTATTACCTATGGACAGTTCTCAGTTATTATATTGACAATTCTCAGTTATTATATTGACAATTCTCAGTTATTATATTGACAATTCTCAGGCAGTTCTCATTTATTATATTTACAATTCTCAGTTACTATATTGACAATTCTCAGTTATTATATTGGCAATTCTCAGACAGTTCTCATTTATTACCTATGGACAGTTCTCAGTTATTATATTGACAATTCTCAGTTATTATATTGACAGTTCTCTTTTATTATATTGACAATTCTCAGTTATTATATTGACAATTTTCAGTTAATATATTGACAATTCTCAGACAGTTCTCTTTTATTATATTGACAATTCTCAGTTATTATATTGACAATTCTCAGACAGTTCTCTTTTATTATATCAACAATTCTCAGTTATTATATTGACAATTTTCAGTTATTATATTGACAATTCTCAGACAGTTCTCTTTTATTATATTGACAATTTTCAGTTATTATATTGACAATTCTCAGATAGTTCTCTTTTATTATATTGACAGTTATCAGTTATTATATTGACAATTTTCAGTTATTATATTGACAATTCTCAGACAGTTCTCTTTTATTATATCAACAATTCTCAGTTATTATATTGACAATTTTCAGTTATTATATTGACAATTCTCAGACAGTTCTCTTTTATTATATTGACAATTTTCAGTTATTATATTGACAATTCTCAGATAGTTCTCTTTTATTATATTGACAATTATCAGTTATTATATTGACAATTCTCAGTTATTATATTGACAATTCTCAGACAGTTCTCTTTTATTATATTGACAATTCTCAGTTATTATATTGACAATTCTCAGTTATTATATTGACAAAATTTTCAGTTATTATATTGACAATTCTCAGACAGTTCTCTTTTATTATATTGACAATTCTCAGTTATTATATTGACAATTCTCAGTTATTATATTGACAATTCTCAGTTATTAT